CTCGCAGGTGGAAATGAGAGGCAGGACAAGCACCAGCCTCCCTTCCCTGCTCCCAGGCATGGGAAGCCTGAATGGAGCACGGCCACTGGAAGAAAGCTGCAGCTGTCTTTTATGCTCATGCTCGCTGTGCACCCTCAGTATGAAGCAAAGGGGTCACAGGTGTGTGTCCCACCCCCCCAGGGTTCTTGCCGATGCCAGGAGCACCCCGAGCAGGCAGAGCACGCAGAGCACACCCGCTGCTGCTCGCTGTGCGGGAGCACCACGTTCCCTCGCCCCGAGCCGGGCCCCGACGGCAGCGTCCGGCTCTTCCCGCGACCCCTGGGGCCACCGCACAGACGCGGGTACATTCACACACCGGGCCGGTCAGCACCGCGGGTTTTAATGACACCTTTAAAACCCCAGGGACGGGCGTGCAGTGGGTGGACGGCCTGAAGGCAGGAAGGAGCACGTTAACCTCGCTGACTATTAATAGCGCTGTGTTTGCTATCAAGGGCAGCGCAAAGGCCGCGCATCACAGATGGAAGAGACCGCACCAGGGAGGTATGTCACGGCCTGAACTGACCCTGGCCCTGGAGGACAGGAGGGAGGCAGAGGTGAGACGGACGCCGCGCTCCCTAAGAGGCTTACCCGGAAGGTGAGGGGATTTCGCGGCCCCACACAGCGCTGCCGAGCACCATGTGTAACAACAAACACGAAACCAGCGCGACGACAAAGCCTCAGCTCAAACTTTCTGACAGTTTCTGTGACCATAGAGGCAGGTAACTATACTCCTGTAACACAGAGTAGGCTTAATTTAAAGGCAAATGGTCAAATCCAACACTCTCACATTTCCTATCTTTTTTTCTTCTTTTTTTATTTTTAAGGAAGCATTTCCTGCTTTAAGATATCAAGGGCTCCTCATTCAAACTTCTTTCAGCAGAAACACTGTTTCACTTGCAAAACTGATTCGGGGTTCGTAACCTACAAAGGAAAACGAGCTATAATTCATTTCGAATAAAATACTCTCAATAATGAAAACACTTAGCCTGAAGAGAGGTTCAGGAAGTTAGTCTGACACTTTTGCCCTGCATCCCTCCAAGAAATGCAGTGAAATGCAACGGCAGACTGCCTGCAACAGTGATTTACAAAAGGCCCTAATTACGTCAGCAGCACAAGGCACCTTCTATTCAAAATTAAGGTTAAGAATGCTAAGCCAACCAGAGCACTATATTGGCTGAACATTCAGTGCTTTACAGTGCAAAGGAGCAGATAACAGACTGCACCATTGTTCTGGGAAGAATTCTTCCTCCAAGCTTGCTTTTTTTTTTTTTTTCTTTTCCTTATTGAAAGACAGAAAGACTTAAAATTAAAAATTTAAAAGAACATTAATATTCATCACATCAGTGGTTTCACATAATGGGTCGTGTATATTGAGTACCCTCATGGCTGTTTCATCTTTCAGCCTTAGTTCCTCAACCTCACTGCAGTTATTTCGTGTGCATCAAGTAATGCAAACATGAGGAATGAGGAAAAAAAACCCACAGTCGTGCCACAGTCGCGTTGTTTCTTCTCCACTTTCCTGTTTGTGCTAATTTGTTTCCCTTTACTGCAAAAGAAAACCTATGACTAGATACAATTATCATTTAAAAAATCACTTTTAAATGACATTATGCTGAAAACATTCAGCATCAAACAGATACAAATTTGCATTCTACAATCTGAAAATAATCCTGGTGTAATCTGTATCAATGCAAGCCAATTTTTGTTATCCTGGATTATGACTACAATATAAAGAGAGAGTACCAGTTATCAGAAGGCCTCTGACTGAAGTCTAATAGATAGGTTTCAGTACACCAGTTGTTCAAGAGTTTCCCTTGATATGAGATGAAGATCAGAGACATCACAGAAA